TAAAGTCACAATGACTGATCCCTATAAATAAAATTGAATAAGATAAGAATTTCACTCTTCAGTTTTGTCTCAGTCTTACTAGGAGTTTGAAAATCAAAAGGAGGTGGTAAGTTGTACCAGATGCTGATATGATATTTATTGGTTTTGACCAAATACATGGATCAATGGAATCATATCAAATTAAAAGGAAAAAATATTGAGATAAACATTCCTTGTAATTAAGTCAAATCTAAATTCATCCAGCCCTCACAGTAGCTCAGTCGGCAGAGCACCTGCTCCGTGATCACGATGTCTTGAATTCGAATCTTGGCTGCGACTGACCTAAGTGGATAAAAAATAGTTAGCAACTGTTCCTTTGCCAGGTGCTCGAAACTCTGAAGTGAAAGTTTGGGGTCCTTCGGATGAGACCTTAAAAACTAAGGTGCTGTACGTGTCACAGAAGGTGTTGGCACTACAAAGATCCCTCACTGCTTAATGGCCCCGAGTGCCAAGTAAAGGTCTAAATTTAAAGCTCTTCATCAGTATATGGTGTCTCTATATGAGTGAAAAATTCTAAAATGAGGCATTTATCTGCAGAAAGAAAATAATCTGTTCAATTACCATTTAAGATATTACCTGGGTCTCTAGGGTAGCAATTTGTATGTCTTTTAATGTACTACAATGGCACCGTGACAATTTTCCATGGAAAACTTCAAATTTGTGACCATATACAAATCGTAAATTAATCCCGTATGTAAAATACACTCTCCAAAAAATAGGACCAGTACACTTTTAGTCTATTTCATAGGTAATTTGATTTAATCTTTGTCATGGAATTTTTTCAGCGTGAAATAAAACTTTTCCTTTCCAAGTCTTCTTATGGATTTCCCCATTGTGATATTTGAGGCTCCAGATTCCAGATGACCTCAACATTTATAGATGTAACATAAATATCTGTTTATTCTACTTTTGTTTAGTATCATTTGTAAAGCATATTACTTTACAAACATTAAAATAAAACAAGAATAAGTCTGAATAAAGACTACGTAGAACAGAATTTTAAAAATGTATACAAATTATTTTTCTGTCAGGGAAACACTTAGGTGTATTGAAAACTTCATAAAGGTGACGATTGTAGTTTTTTTTACATAACATTTGGATTTTTTCTGCTTTATTGGATGTTGTGTTTTTGAAAAGTAGCATTCCCTGTAATTAGTTTGTAGTACACATGCTGTAGAGTTATTCTACAAGGATGCACGTACGTATGAATTAGGATTAAAATATACAGTGTATCACAACCAGTATATGACTTTCCCTTTATCTGGGATGTGAAGTATGAGGTATCAAGGTTGAATATGACTGTACTGTAACAGATCACATGCTGTTAATTGTATATAATACTGCTGTATATACTGAAAGTTATTGTGAAGTTTTTCACATTAGGACTACAATATATGTAATCTGTAATTTGTGCAATAATTGTTTTTTGGTTTGAAAATTACCGTAACACTTAAAACTCTACATTGTGTTCCAGTCTCCTGTGGATATTGGTCATGTATAAAATGAGCATTTATTTATTACAAAGAGATATAAAGTGCAAGTATTTTCAAGTATGTCCAAGATGTTCTAATCATGGGATACTTTATTTGTAATTTTAAACCAATCATGTTAATTGAATTGTGGCTGTAAAATTTTGAATAAAAAAATGTATGGTACTGTAAAATGTTTCATTGATGTTTCAATAAAAATGTGTAACTGTTGGCATTTGTAATGTATTGTTTTTATTACAAGTTTTTCATTCATCATTTTTTATCCATAAAAGAAATTAACCGAATGACAACCAAAATGTTAAAGTATAATACATAAAAGATCACTTAATTTTCGAGACACCTCATTTTCGCAAGACAGCCATTGCCTCTTCATAAGCAAGACAATTTTTTTTACGGATTGTGGTTATTACTCTATGAATAATCTGTAAGAATATTGATATATGCCAGAATGATATTTTAGCGAGCACACTGTCTTGTGTAATTACGAGAAAACCACGGTAAGATGTCTCAAACCTTCTTCCGAACATACTCAGTAGACACTGAATCTCTCTTTTTCCTCCATTTTTAGGGGTGGGGGCACAGATGTTAGAATACTTTTCAATTTTACCGAAGTTTTCAGTTAATAAAAAATAGTAATATCTATCATAATAACGCGTGTAATTTTGAAGTCATCGTGCCTTCTTTTTTGACTGTAAAATTCGACAGAAATGATAGTTATGCAAACTTCTGTGATTTTGGGCTTTAGTGCCTAGGAATCAACATTGAAATGTTGAAGAAAAATTCGTTGAGAATAATCGTGAATTCAGACTTGACAAGATGAAAATGGAATGTTCACGCATAAAAATGTCAATGAATTATTTGAATTAAAAAAAAAAGAAATCTTGTCCAACACTAGTTCAAAGTCTATTATATTCGTATAACTTCTCACTTAAATCCTTTGGAACAGGGACGTCGCATCGAATTTGAAAGGGGATATGTACAGGGAAAGAATTCAAATTGTCTGAAAAAAAAAGAACTAGCAATCCTATTTCGTGAGGGGGGGGGGGGGGGCTTGGTCTTTTTTCAGAACCAAATTTGATTTAAACAGAATTACATTATCCTTATTTGACTATACTAGTTTTTAATTAAAGAACAGGGATATTTTAATTTTTCCTGAAAAAAGCATGTACATATGCCAATGAAAGTTAGATGAAGAATTGGCTGTGTAAGGGTACTCTGACACAGATTTGAAGTTAATATTTTCTCCATAATATCACGAATTATATATTATAATAGCATTTCACACAAAAATTAATTAAAAATCTTATTTCATTTAAAAGTTATTAAAACTTCAAATTTTTTGGCGGGTTGGATTGACTCATCCTGGCACTTTCACATATTTAAATTTATTCTTAATCCTTCAGAAAAGTGGCAATCTTGTTGTGTATTAATGAGAAATATTAAAACTTTAATCCATAAAAATAATTTTATTCAGAATAGAAGTGTTAGAAAACAAAACACCTTCACAAGTATCGTCATTCCGAGCTAAGTCGTGTGTGCAAATCGATCACACTCGTGTTATGTACACAGTTTTTGTAAACAAGGCAAAAGCTCTGTTTTTATTTATGTTTAGATTTCACCGGGCGCGTTCTGAATCGTCACAGTCTGCTTACCACAACTGCACGGACTGACAATATATTGTGTGTTTGTTTTGCTTTAGAGCATGTCTACTCTGAATTTTCTGAATTTTAGTATCAATATTTTGCATTCATACACAACAAGATTGCCACTTTTCCTGGGTATTAAGAGTAAAATTAAAATTTGTGAAAGTGTAAGGATGTGTCAATCAAACCCGCCAAAAAAAATAAAGTTTTAATAACTTTAAAATGAAATAAGTTTTTAAAGTAATTTTTGTGTGAAATGCTATAAAAATATATACTTCGTAATATTTTAGAGAAAAAAAACAGAAAATATTAACTTCAAATCTGTGCCCAAGTACCTTAACAACGAGGTACAAAGTTATAATGAGAGGATGTACACGTGTCATTTACACAAAAGGATCAATGTTGTCAAGTTATAGCTATAACGAAGATTTTTTTTAAATAAAGAATTTACGTTAAAATAATTTTACATTTTTTGTTTTTATATTACCAATGTGTTTCCTTTTTTTTTACATTTAAAACTGATAACATCATTTCCATATTTTTATGAGTGCTTCTTATCCTAAACATCTGTTTTCTTCTGTCTTTTAAAAATAGCAATTAAAAGGTAGAAAAACATTCAAAGGGCTCTACTTTAAACCCCTATAGATTACTTCACCATATTACCGGTACCTCTTCATAAATTGAATTTTAATTCTCTTGCTGCACCATCCCATTTTATAAACGTTGAGCTTTTTTTTCAGGCAATTTGAATTCTTTCCCTGTACATATATATTTCATAATATATAATATAACAGCACTACGTTAATTCATACCTGGATGTCACATGCAGGTGAACATACTTTTATTATTATACAATATTATACAATCATATATTTTTTTTTACAATGTTGTATCGCAGCTAGATGCAATTATTAATGTAGCCTTTTCGGATTTTTTTTTTAATCTGATCATTTCTGGAGAGTAAAAAGACAAAGATAGAAAGAATTTAAAAGGAAAACGTTTATAATTTCAGCTACGTCTATACTAATCAACTAGGACAATCATGATCTGATTAAAAGAGAGAGAGAGAGATCATTTTATGTTCAAACATTAACGAATGTACATATAGAGAAGGGAGCAACTTGAATGATTGAGAGTCTGACGATCTTCAGACTTTCAAGAGCTTCGTGAATAATAGACAGTGGCGTAGCGTCCATTAACTTAATGATTAAGGCAAAAAGGCAAATGCCTATACATAATTTTAGGCAAAATATACATATATTTGATGCACGCTACGCCACTGATAGGCATTTATAAAAAGAAAATGAAAAGGGTGGGGGTGTGTCTCCAAGTGCGAATAACGACGTAAGAGAGATAACTCTAATTTTCAGAACGGCAACATACCTGGAAATACCTGGAATGGAGATCAGAGAACGGAGTGTTACGGAGTCGAGACAAAAATGAAAAGAGAAATGACGAATGATTTTCCATCAATGTATTGTAAAGCAATAACTGTCCACCAATGTAAGTCAAGTTTCCCAGTGGCTACCTTGGTAGAGTTATTTAGAAATTCTGTACTTTCAGTTTGTAAATTTCAAAGTGATGCCTCGAATATGAATTAAAAATTGAATAAGTTCATTCTGTAGATAAGATATTTAGCCTAAAAGAAGATAACAACAAAACTACCTGTAATTTTTAAATTAAAAACTTTTATTAATACGTATAACAGTACTTATGATATGTTAAAATATGTATACAAATGTTATAGGAAGTGTTATGAATTTTTCATTTAGCAGTCACAAAAAGTACTAATTTTAATATCAAAACAATTCTTGATTTACATGTATAGGACTTCCACAGAAACTATGGATCCCCGCCACAGTGCCCAGGATGTGATCAGATGTGACCTTTGTGAGACAGCTATAGTACAGATGTACTGTGATTTCTGTCACGTCAATCTTTGTAAACCCTGTATTGGAGAACACATTGCTGATGAATATACTAAACATCATATTGTCCCGTTCCAACAGAGAAAATCAACCTTGATTTATCCAAAGTGTGCAACACATGAAACCAAATCTTGTGAATTAAAATGCAAGGAATGTGACATTCCTATTTGTTCTTTATGCTCTGTATCACAGCAGCAAAAAGGACACAATTTCTTAGTTCTCGGAGAAATATACAACTCAAAGAAAAATGATATTGCAAAAGATACAGAGGAAATACAAAACATTATTTCTCCAACATACGAAGATATCACAAACGATCTAGAAAAACAGATAGCTAACTTGGATGGAGAATATGAGAAACTTACAACAGCAGTGACAGAACATGGTGAACAATGGCACAAAGAAATTGACAATATCATCAATGCCATGAAAAAAGAAATTGATGATTTAAAAGAAAAACACTTTGACATTCTTAAAAAACATGCAGAAGAAGTGAAACAAATACAGTCCCTTATTGAACAAACTCTGTTTCACTTGAAGGAAATTGAAGAATCAAATGAAGTGTCCATGACCATTGAATACAGCTCCAGAAACAAAGAATTCAGCAAACTTCCTCCTAAAATTCAGGTATCACTGCCAATGTTTAATCCAAAACCAGTAGATACAGAACAGATGAACAAGTTGTTTGGATCTCTTGCACCTCTATCTACCACAACAAAAGAAAATGGTTACAACCTGAAGAAACCAGAAACGTCAAGCAGAGAACTACTAGAAGAACCAGAACTTATCACTACTATAGATACTGGGTATGAAAAACTCCGTAATGTGACCTGTCTCAGTGAAGAAGAAATCTTGACAAGTGGGAAAGTCAGTGATATTAAATGCTTCAACATGCAAGGTTCACTTATGAAGACAATAACAAAGAAATCATGGGGAGCACCAAATGATATAGCAGTGACAGGTGATGGAGATCTAGTGTACTCTGATTGGAAAACAAAGACAGTGAATAAAGTAAAGAATGGACAGACAGAGGAGATGATCAGACTACAGGGCTGGGTACCTAAACATCTCTGTGTCACCTCCTCTGGTGATCTCCTGGTTACCATGTACAGTGATGATAGAACACAATCCAAAGTTGTCCATTACTCAGGCTTCACAGAGAAACAAACAATCCAGTTTTATGAGGAGGGTAAACCTCTGTATTCAGGAAATGACAGAATTAAGTACATCAGTGAGAACAGAAACCTGGATATCTGTGTGGCTGACTATAAAGCTGGTGCTGTAGTGGTGGTCAACCAGGCTGGAAAACTCAGATTTAGATACACTGGTCATCCTTCTACTACAAAAACCGAACCATTTGTACCCCATGGTATCACAACAGACAGCCAGAGTCAGATCCTGACAGCAGACTACCATAACCACTGTATCCACATCCTAGACCAGGACGGACAGTTCCTCCGTTATATAGATAATTGTGATCTGAAGAATCCATTTGGTTTATGTGTGTATAAAAATAATTTATTTGTTGCTGAGTGGAAAGGGAAGGTTAAGAAAATTAAATATTTGGAATAGACATCTTTGTATATAACTAAATATATGTTTGTGTATATCATTATGCTGTCATAATGGATCTATTTTGTAAATAAAATTATTTCATTTTTAGCTCACCTGAGCTGAAGGCTCAAGTGAGCTTTTCTGATCAAAATTTGTCCGTTGTCTGTCGTCTTTGTAGTCGTTGTTGTTGTCGTCATCGTTAACTTTTCACATTTTCGACTTCTTCTCAAGAACCGCTGGGCCAATTTCAATCAAACTTGGCACAAAGTATCCTTGGGTGAAGGGGATTCAAGTTTGTTCAAATAAAGGGCTACGCCCTTTTTCAAGGGGAGATAATAATGAATTAGGGAAAAATTAATGGCATTTTTAAAAAATCTTCTTCGAACCACTGGGCCAGGAAAGATGGAATTCATGTGGAATCATCCTCAGGTAGTGTAGATTTAAGTTTGTTCAAATCATGACCCCCGGGGCTAGGGTGGGGCCAAAATGGTCAACCAAAGTGTTACATAGGAATATATAGGAAAAATCTTTAAAAATATTCTTCTCCAGAACCACTGGGCCAGGAAAGATGAAACTCATGTGGAATCATCCTCAGGTAGTGTAGATTCAAGTTTGTTCAAATCATGACCCCCGAGGCTAGGGTGGGGCAAAAATGGCCGACCCAAGTTTTACATAGGGCTATATAGGGAAACCTTTTAAAATTTTCTTTTCAAGTACTTCAAAGCTATGATTAGTGATATTTATATGGAATCATCCTCAGGTAGTGTAGATTCTAGTTTGTTCAAATGATGAATGCCTCGGGGGGGGGGGGGGTAAATTCAAGCCTGATGTTATCAGGTGAGCGCTGTGGCCCCTGGGCCTCTTGTTAAATTATAATTCTTTTATCGTTATAATGTGTTGTTTATCTTTCAAGTTATGAGAATAGATGGAGAAAATGTAGACAATGTCAACATCAAGAGATAATATTATTGTCATAGCATTTTGTATAGTGTCAATGAAAGGACATTGTTATGATGAAATAACACATTGGATAAAATTATTTTATCATCTGCCGGTTTTCACTTTTAATGGAATTAACAGTCACTTCTTAAAAAATATTTCTTTTTGAGTTCATATGTTTGTTGCAACTTTTCAAATATTCATGATATTTAATTAATACATATCATTTTGGAGAAACTTGAATGAAAGTATTACTTTGAAATAATTTCTGAACTAAGCCCCTTTAATGAATTTGAAATTACACAAATAAAAAAACTACATGAAATAAAAAAAATGTTGGATCATTTAGTTGATTTTTTCCCTCTAAAATGCTTTGATGTCATACAGAATAATGTACCGGTCTACGTTTATATTAGTATTAATTGCCTGCGTGGCAAATTGGAAGAGGGTCTACTCCAGTCGCAAAGTAAGGAGTTGATCATAACGTCATGGGTTCAAATCTCACTATTGCCAGTATTGAACGCAGAGACCAGTCCTTTGGATGAGTAAAACGATTCAGAGATTTGTCCTTAAAAGTTGGTATTTTATTTTTAGAGAGATTTCTGTTTTTTTCTCTAAATGCTTTGAGTTTATATAGCATTATGGACCAACATGTGCTTATATTTAGCACTAATTGCCTGAGTGGCATAGTGGTAGAGTGTCTACTCCAGAGCTGAAGAGTTAGGAGTTGATCATAATGTCATGGGTTACAATCTCACTATGGGACGCAGAGACCAGTCCTTTGGATGAGTAAAACAATTTAGAGATTTGTCCTTAAAAGTTGGTATTTTATTTTTAACGAGATGTGCTTTCAGCAATTTTAAGATGTGATATTTAGTTTTAGTGATCTCAAACCCTCTTTAAAAATGCCAAAATTAAATCCTCGTTAAAAATTCTGCTTACTAGTATTCAGAATTACTGAGATTTAATAGAAAAGTTAGATGTTGATAGACAAATGTTGGAAAAACATTGGGCAAAAAAAACAAACTTCTTTAAGCCTTTGGAACATGGAAACTTATTAATAAAACCATATGGCATAAAACGTCCTACATCTAAATATAACTGAACTATAAATATACAACTTCTTATAAAAAAAGGGTATGTAAATGAACAAGAGAAACATTGGTTATAGTTTTAAATATTTTAATATCACACACTAAGGTCAATATATAATAAGTCTCTCATCTCACAAACCACACATAAATCAACATTACTAATACCTTACACACATTACCAGACAATATAATAACATTTATAATCAGTGAAATCACAGTTTGTTTTTTAAAAACACAGAGGTCCTTATATATTCAGTCGTTGAAATTCTTTGATGACTCGTTCTGGTGGTGCCTCGATGGACTCCAAACGTTTCCTGCGATGAGGCGGCCATACCACGTGTGTTGCTTTGGCGATGATCAATCCTAATGAGATCTGAAAATACAGGAAAGGGGATGAAATTGTTATTTTGATATATGTATGTAAAAGAAATCATTGGTTATCTTAAGAGAGCCCAATGGTCATTATTTTCAGGCTATTTATGAGCCTCCCTAAAAGAAGATTTTCTTGAGGGAATTAATCTTTTGATCGAATGATAAAAGTTTTGAATTATTTCATAATTTCTTTTTCTTTATTATTATTATCTTAATTCTTACTTTAAGAAATTAACAACAAATCAGAAATTCTTTAAATATTCAATATTTCACACAAGAGACCTTTCTTGACCATGGAGCCTCCTTAATTTTGTGTGGTGGATCCAAGTTTTGTCCATCTTTCCAAAGGCCAGACAATGTGTGTGGCTTTAGCTACAACATTTCCCAAACCCACTAGATCCTGATAATGAAAAGAAGGGCTTGATACATGGTTATCAAAATTGAAATGCACTGTTCACAACACATATCTAAATGTTCCTTGTAATGGGTAATGCAAAGTTCTATGTAGAAATGAGAAGATTAAAAATAAAAAGTGAATTGACCATGTGGCATACCAAAACAGAGGGTGTGATACAATGTACAATGTAAAATTTTAAACACCTGCATTGAGTAGTTGCTGAGAAAATTTAGACAAAAAATTGGAACAGACAGACACATGGATAAACAGGAAGTTGACCATCAAGTACCATCATATGACATGCCAAAATTAAAGATGAGCTAAATGTGAAAAGTTTACGACGACGATAACGAGGACGATAAACAACGGACAGATTTTGGTCAGAAAGGCTCACTTGAGCCTTCGGCTCAGGTGAGCTAAAAATGTGATTTTGTCAAACTAAGTTTTTTTTTCTCCTAAAGGAATATTATATAAGAAATATCATCCTCTGGTATCTTGCTCAAATACCTGGTAAGGTACCTCAATTTTTTGTGAGCAAACATGTTAAAGTAGTAATATTTCAGTGGCAAAATCTTGGAAAAAAATATGTGTTATTGAGGAATGTCTCATCTGTCCTTAAGAAGCTAATAGATCTGGAAGTGTGAAAAAAATTCATACTTTTAATTTTGGTAAAAGTATGACTAAAATTCTATCAGCTGGAAAATGTACATCAGACTCTGGAGCAAATCTAGAAATGTCATACTATCCATACTTATTTGGAAAAAGTATGACTAATTTTCAATCAGCCAGAAAATGTGCATAATTATAAGGTGTACAATGTAGCATCCAAAGGAGGTTAGATAATGTCCATCTGTAGAATTGCATTATCCATGCATGTTTGGTCCAGTTAGGGTTGCATGATTAAAACTTGGGGGTGAACCTGCTCCAAAAACTTTACAGGGACAATATCAACAATTTTTTTTTCAAACTTTGCTTGAATTTACATTTCATGTTGTTAGAGCTATCTATTGGTTCAGTTTACACACAGAAAAGAATTACCTGCCCCTGTTTATGCTAATTTTTCTTGCCAACACATGGAATATACATAAAGGATATGGAGATAATGAACAGTATTTAATATCAAAGTCCATAAAACAATACAAAATAGGAGCAGAGCAAACACGGACTTCCGAAAAATCAGAGGTGGCATCAGGTGCCATGGAGGAGTAAGCATATCACCTGCTGACCGGTCACACCTGCCGTGTGCTCCTTGTCATGATCCGGAAATAACAGAAAAATTCGTTGTCAATTCAGTGTATAAATAATGGACTAACAATTAGTATCAGTCAGCACTTGACTCAATGATAAATTTTATTTGCTGACAAGGTCATTGTAATGACCATAGAACTTACAAAATGATGACTTCAAATGAGACTGCTGATATTCTTGTTTCATCAACTTGCTTGTCAATAATTTACCTCATTTTAGAAGTTGTTGAATCAACTGAGATATATACACTTTGTATGCAGGTGATGAAGGTATACTACTTCATAAGTAAGGAAAGTTGATGATAGAAAAGTTAAAGTCATAATGTTTGTCATATAGTTTGGTTCTTAGATTACCATTAACGTCTTTTTCAAGTAAAATTTCCAAGTATGAAACAGATGTGTCAGACTCTGTTGTACCTTTTATCTGAAGCTCAACAGGATATATCGTATCGATGTAGGAATGGAAATTACCATTGTTAATTGACAATACGTTGTCGATATATCTAAATGTAAAGTTGAAGGTCACAGCAAGTGTTTTCTTCGTTTCACACGTAAGATTTTGCACAAATTCTGCTTCATATGAATATAAAAATAGGACTGTTAATAATGGAGTGCAATTGGTACCCATGGTAATTCCAAAAGATTGTTGGAATACCTGGTCTTCAAAAACCACAGATATTGTCAATCAGAAACTCAAACACTTTTTTGATGTCAACTTCAGAGTACTTGTGTGTGCAATCAGAATGTGTTTTAACAAAATAATTTTGCAAATGACTAATGACCAGGGAAGTAAATTTACGAGTTCCATTTTTATTGAAAAAGCAGCTGTCAATGATATCAAAAAGCCTGGACTTTAATTTAATTATCGTGGGGAATGGCTGTGTAAAAAGTTGAAAAGTCGTAAGTTTTCAAGCTGTTGATTTTGGTAAAATCTTGCGATTTCAAATTGTTCAAAAGATCTTTGGAATTTTTGAGTATCCGTATCAACTATGTCTTTAATATCTTTTTAAGATAGAAGACTGTTTAACCTAATTGTTAAATGTATACTTACTGGTCCAAACTTGTTGCTATCTTCACTCATCCTTGCATTATCCCCCTCCACCCAGCAGTGACCTTGTGGGATCTGTATTGTCCTTTTTGTGTAATTCACTATCCTGACAATATAAACAAATCAAATTATTTTATTAAAGTTAAAGCAGGCTCATCAAATATTAATAGAAGAGAAATATATAGTTACAATGTAATGTGTTTGTAAAATATATTAAGAGCTCTGAGAATGACCTTAGACACTTTGATACCATGACTCATGATTTTGGAAATAAGGATTTAAAAACCTTCATAATATTGTTTCCTTCATATGCTATACACAATTGTTAAGACAAAATTAAAAAAAACCCAGAACTGTCCAAACGGGACAAAATGCCCCCCGCTGGATTTTTCAGAAGTGCTAAATCATGTATATTTTATGGATCTAAGAGAGAAAAGAAATGCTAAAACATTTTTAGTGCAAATGTATTATTGCTCATTATATTTTTCATAAATGAAACGAAGGTGCAGCCTAATAAAAAAAAATTGACTAAATATTCGGACCAGACATGAATTATGAACTTTTTCTGTAAGTGACCTTGAACTTGCATAAATGACCTTGACCCAAGGTCATGACAAAACCTAAGGTTTGTGTGAAGCAATGTTGTGTGAAGTAGTAGATTCAAGTTTTTCCATAATAAACAAAGATAAGAACCGGACACAAATTAAAAAATTTTTCTTCCAGTGACCTTGAACTTCCCCAAATGACCTGGGGTCAAGGTCAAGACACACCCTTAGGTCATGGGCAATCTTTATTTGAAATGAGAACCTACCAAGTTTATCCATGAGAAAGATATGGACCGGACATGTATTATGAATTTTTTCTTCCAGTGACCTTCAACTTCCCCATATGACCTTGGGTCAATGTCATGACACACCCTTACGTCATGTGCAATCTTTGTGTGAAATTAGAACCTACCAAGTTTATGTGTACAAAACTTCTACCTTGAAGATATAAAAAAGCTCTTAGCACACTAAGTAGCATATTTAAAAGAAAGTAAATCATCAAGAAATTGTCCTGCCTATGAGAATTTTACAGTTCTTCTTTTCTGCTTTTTAAAAAGAATTCTGCTAATTTAGTTTTTGTCACATCCATATTTTACAAAATGACATTGTTTAATAATTATACCCCAGTCAAGATTATATTTATATTGCAGAATAACTTTATAAAGTTCAAGAAATACAAATTATATATTTAAACCAGAAATCTTCTATGGGACATGCCTGGCCCAATGGTCATTCAAATGCAACTTGAAAATTTGAAATTATATGTATGAAAGTACAAACAACAAGTGCCAGGGATGGCTGATTTTGCTTCGTTAAACTGTGACTGTAATTTGTTGTAATATTTGACGTTAAGTTTATAACAAATATTAAAGTCGCATGGAATGAAAATCATTTTGCTATAAGCATCAATTCATTATATTAAGCATGTTCACTATAACCCTGTTTTACTGTATCTAGAATATTTTTTTTGAAACAGCTAGAGCTATAGCAATGAAAGAAAAAGTGAGCAAGCTCACATACCCCAAGCTCCCCCAAAACTCAAAGTGCTGAAAATCCTGGAAAAAAAATTAAAGAATCGGAATTGCACATCTACACATTGTGTCCTAAATGCCTGCAAAGTTTGACGAAATTCTGTGCAGCGGTTTATGAGGAGTTGCGCTGACAAACTGTTCATCTCTATATTCAAGGTATGGTCAAATGCTTAAGTTAAAACGTGCGGAAATTCTCGAGAAAAATAATGGAATCGAAATTTCCTGGTAACATGCACATCTACACATTGTGTCCTAAATACCTGCAAAATTTGATGAAATTCTGTGCAGCGGTTTATGAGGAGTTGCGCTGACAAACTGTTCATCTCTATATTCAAGGTATGGCCAAATGCCTCAGTTAAACATAGGTAATCAAAGATTACGAAGCTCACCTCGACGAACGTTATCAGTGTAAGTAATGCAAATCTCACATCATATTTTCTTAATATCTAGTATTTATTCCAACAACAATATTCTTGCAAGTTGTGTTTAACCTTTTACAGGGCATATACACATTTCTACTCATGTAGCGTGAAAAACATATATAATAGTGTAAACAAATATTCATCAATTTGTTAATACTGCAGATATCAAGGTTCAAAATCATTGGGATTAATCTGTTCCCAAAACTTTAACCTGGTCTCTTGTATGGAAAATATAGGTCAGATCCAGCATCCGAAGCAAGTCTGGTAGTTTCCATCCCTAGATGCATCATCCATGCAAGTTTGGTTCTGGTAGGTCTTATAATTTCTTGAGAAAATATACCGTATAATCCCAATTAACCGCCCCTACCCCTATAAGCGCCCCCTTAGGTCTTTTTCAATTTTCAGGAAATAAGGGCCCCCTGTAGAATCGTATCAAAAATTAAATAAAGTGAAACTGAAACTTGTCTATTATCCAATTTCTCAATGGAAAATGAATAATTTAGCATAATTTGTGTGGATTATATTCACTTTAAGTAAAGTTAGACATTATTGTAGTTGTTCCCTTTATTTCTTTTTTTTTCAAAAGATTTTTTGAAGTTAAAATGTGACATTAAATATAATAAAGGGAATACGAAAATAACCGCCCCCTTTTTGCAATTTTCTAAGCGCCCGGGGCGGTTAATAGGGATTATACGGTAGGTCAGATTCAGCATCCGAAGCAAGTCTTGTAGTGTCTATCCCTAGATGCATCATCCATGCAAGTTTCGTTCAGGTAGGGCTTATAGTTACTTGGGAGTGAAAATGTAGGTCAGATCCAGCATCCGAAGCAAGTCTGGTAGTGTCCATCCCTAGATGCATCATCTATGCAAGTTTGGTCTGGGTATAACTTATAGTTCCTTGGGAATGGACCTACTCCAAAAACTTTAACCTGGTCACTCATCTGGAAAATGTAGGTCAGATCCAGCATCCGAAGCAAGTCTGGTAGTGTCCATCCCTAGATGCATCATCCATGCAAGTTTGGTTTGAGTAGTGCTTATAGTTCCTTGGAAATGGACCTGCTCCAAAAACTTTAACCTGGTCACTCATCTGGAAAATGTAGGTCAGATCCAGCATCCGGAGCAAGTCTGGTAGTGTCCATCTCTAGATGCATCATCCATGCAAGTTTGGTTTGCGTAGGTCTTATAGTTCCTTGGGAATGGACCTGCTTCAAAAACTTTAACCTGGTCACTCATCTGAAAAATGTAGGTCAGATCCAGCATCTGGAGCAAGTCTGGTAGTGTACATCCCTAGATGCATCATCCATGCAAGTTTGGTTCAGGTAGGGCTTATAGTTACTCAGGAATGGACTTGCTCCTAAAACTTTAACCTGCGACGCCGACGCTAACGCCTACGCCAACGCTGGGGGTATAGCATAAGCTCATCTCCACTTTGTCGAGGTGAGCTAAAAAGTGCGGAAGGAGTTGCGCTGACAAACTGTTCATCTCTATATTCAAGGTATGGCCAAATGCCTAAGTTAAAAAGTGCGGAAATTCTCGGAAAAAATAATGGAATCGGAATTTCCTGGTAATATGCACATCTACACATTGTGTCCTAAATACCTGCAAAGTTTGACGAAATTCTGTGCAGCGGTTTATGAGGAGTTGCGCTGACAAAAAAAAAAGGACTGACTGACAGTCTGACTGACTGACTGATGGACGGGTCAAAAACATTATACCTCCCGCAACTTGTTGCATGGGATATAATAAACACACATTTGAGAAAAGTGTCAAAAAATTTTGGTGATGAATTGCTCTTTTCAGAAGACAATATCAATGGGGGTTAAATAAAATATATTTATACTTTACCATATATCTAAAATTGCATGTACACACAATTTCATTATTTAAACAAACTTTTTAATTGCTAATAAGCTTGCACATTTACAAAGTGAATAAAGGTACCCACCCCTCTGGATTATCCCATCGTTTGTTGATTTTTGTGTTTTCTGGAATTCTGAAAATAAAAATGATTTAATTAATTAGCTTAGGATTAAGCTCAAAACTAATTTCAGCTAACATAAGTGAAGTTTCAGTCAAAGACCATAATTTGCAGGATAAAAACACACTTCTGGTCATAAAAACTTAAATGGTTAATAATCATGGCTCCAATCTTCCCCTGTGGGTCAAATTGTTTTGAACATACCAACCTGAGGATGCTGTAAGCCAAAATTTGTTGATATTGGCTCAGTCTTTCCAAAGAAATGTTTAAATGTCAATGCAGGACAGATAATGACAGACAAAAGCAGAAAGAAAAAAAAAGTCAATTTAGTGTCTCATATTCCGCATAAGCTTATTGCGAATCTGAGAAACACACGTGTCTTGAAAAAGAGACAATTATACGAACCAATTAAAATAGGAGAAAAAGATATTGAATCTCTATATGTATGAGACGTGTGTCTAAATATCAAAAATGCATTTATAAATAATTCTTTGTGCTTATTCGATTCAACTTACCAAAAGATCTTGGTGGCATTTTTTATGTTCAAGTCTCGTACTCTTGAAGAGGTACCAATGTGGGGGAAGAAAAAAGAGAAAGAAAAAGAATTTTTCTCTGTTTTGTTACTTGATACCACCTTTAGATGTAGAGTGTACATGAAACTTTTCTTGACACTTTACACAAAAGTTGGTGTAGAGTGTACAGTAAAACTTGGTTATAGCGAAGTCCTTGGGACCTGTAAATTTAATTCGCTATATCCATAATTCGTTATATCTGTATAAAGAATTCGTATAACCATTATAGAGAATTCGCATTATGCATTTTTTCCTTCAAGTATTACTACCAAATATGTTAGGGAAGCAAATATTACAAAACCTATCTTCGATAACTTGGGTTTTATTATGAATTGTATTTTATATACAAATGCTAAAAGGAAATAAAGTCAGTTCAATTTATCAATTTTTTATTATCTTTGAAAGTTCGTTATAAAAGATGTAAATTTTATTATATTTAACCTCAACGGGACTCAAAATCAGTTCGATATATCCGTAAATTCGTTATATCAGAGTTCGTTATAACCGTAAAATTTTACAAAGATTTGTTAAGAATGTTGCTGGGAACCCAGAAAAACTTCGCTATATCCATGAATTCACTATATCCCTGTTCGTACTAAATGAGTTTTACTGTACATGGAATTTTGCAATGAAGCTATACACTTTGTACACTTTTTGTTTAAAGTTTAACTTGTCATTGAGTTTCGTTGAAAATGCTGTACACGTTACACACATAACATTCCTGTAAATTGACAGCCGCTATCGGCCATCATACATATTACCTTAAACAAGAGGCCCACGGGCCTTATAGGTCACCTGAGTATTGTGTAACAACATTCAAACAATTAAATTTGGTTCGTGTTTAAAACCGGAGGCCATGAAATTCACAATTTACAATTTTGAAAGAGGCACCATTGCTTATCATAATTATTAACTTAGCATGCTTACTCTATTTACTTAATACCCAGAGGTAGATCAGAGTAACAAAGAGAAAATGCACTTCCACTTTATACCCAGTTGTGCACCTCACCCACTGACCCATGGGCCACATATTTCAAAATTTTGCAAATTTAATCATAAATGGTTGATTAATACCAAAGAGCAGATTTCAAAGCATTAATTTATTTTCAGACTATGCAACCCCCCCCCCCTTTGACCCTGGGGGCATATAAAAACCACTTTGCTAGATGCACCTTTCTTCATCATAAATATATACAATACTTGGATCATTGGCATAAAACCCAGAAGCAAAGGAAAATATTTTCAAAGAATTAATGTATTTTTACTATATAACCAATAGAGCCCCGCCCTAACACCAGAACCCCTGACCCTGGGGCCATAAAATTCACATTTTTGAAGAGGCACTCTTGCTCATCATAATTATGTGCTTAGTTAGTTTATTTAATACCCAGGAGCAGAGAAGAAGGTTTTCAAAGAAATGATGCATTTTCACTATATAATCAATAGAGCCCTGTCCTAACACCAGAACCCTGACCCTGGGGCCATAAAATTCACAACCTAGAAAAGGCACTCTTGCTCATCATAACTATCTGCTTAGTTAGTTTATTTAATACCCAGGAGCAGAGAAGAAGATTTTCAAAGAAATAATGCATTTTCACTATATAATCTATAGAGCCCCGCCCTAGCACTAGAACCCCTGACCCTGGGGCCATGAATTTCACAAATCTGGAAGAGGCACTCTTGCTCATCATAACTATCTGCTTAGTTAGTTTATTTAATACCCAGGAGCAGAGAAGATTTTCAAAGAAATAATGCATTTTCACTATATAATCTATAGAGCCCTGCCTCAACACTAGAACCCCTGACCCTGGGGCCATAAAATTCAAAAATCTGGAAGAGGCCTCTTGCTCATCATAACTATGTGCTTAGTTAGTTTATTTAATACCCAGGAGCAGAGAAGATTTTCAAAGAAATAATACATTTTCACTGTATAATCTATAGAGCCCCACCCTAGCACTAGAACCCCTGACTCTGGGGCCATGAATTTCACAATTTTGGTAGAGGACTCAATGCTCATTACATTCATGCCAACAGTTTGCCTGATTGATGTCCAGGAGTAAAGAAGAAGATTTTTAAAGATTTCATTAATTTAAGTGGTTTTGGCCCCACCCCTCAGGCCCCAGGGGGGTGGGGACCATGAAATAGACAATTTTTGTTCCCCTCCACCCATAGATGCTGTATACCAAATTTGGTTGAAATTGGTTCAGTGGTTTCAGAAAAGAAGCTGAAAATGTTCAAATGTTAACACACGACACACGACGCACGACGGATGACGACGGACGAAAACGGATAGCAATAGGTCACCTGAGTTACTCAGGTGACCTAAAGAGAAAAATAAAGTTTTACTCTGTTTTAGAAATTTTAGGAATTGAAGTTAACACATAAGCCTTATTGCAGCATTTTTAGGTCACCAGAGTAACTCAGGTGACCTATTGCTATCCATTTTCGTCCGTCGTTGTCCATCGTGTGTCATCCGTCGTGTGTTAACATTTGAACATTTTCAGCTTCTTCTCTGAAACCACTGAACCAATTTCAACCAAATTTGGTATACAGCATTTATGGGTGAAGGGGAACAAAAATTGTGAATTTCATGGTCCCTGCCCCCCTGGGGCCTGAGGGGTGGGGCCAAAACCAACAAAATTAGTGCAATCTTAAAAAATCTTCCTTTTTAGTCCTGGACATCAAGCAGGCAAACTGTTGGCATGAATGTAATAAACATTGAGTCCTCTACCAAAATTGTGAACTTCATGGCCCCAGGGTCAGGGGTTTTAGTGCTAGGGCGGGGCTATATAGATTATATAGTGAAAATGCATTATTTCTTTGAAAATCTTCTTCTCTGCTTCTGGGTATTATATAAACTAACTAAGTAAATAGTTATGATGAGGAAGAGTGCCACTTCCAAAACTGTGAATTTTATGGCCCCTGGAGGATCAGGGTTTCTGGTATTAGGGTGGGGCTCTATATAATGAAAATGCATTAATTCTTTGAAAATCTATTCATTTGCTTCTTTATGCCAATGATCCACGTATATATATATTTATGATGAAGAAAGGTGCATCTAGCAAAATGGTTATTTTTTATGCCCCCCCCCTAGGTCGGGGGGGGGGGATGGTTACATAGTCTGAAAATAAATTAATGCTTTGAAATCTGCTCTTTAGTATTAATCAACCATTTTAAGATAAAATTTGCAAAATTTTGAAATATTTGGCCCCAGGGTCAGTGGTTCCTTTGGGGTGAGGTGCACAACTGGTTATAAAGTGGAAGTGCATTTTCTCTTTGTTACTCTGATCTACATATGGGTATTAGATAAATAGAGTAAGCATGCTCAGTTTATAATTATGATAAGCAATGGTGCCTCTTTCAAAATTGTGAATTGTGAATTTCATGGCCTCTGGGGTAAAACACGAACCAATTTTAATTGTTTGAAAGTTGTTACATGATACTCAAGTGACCTATAAGGACCATGGGCCTCTTGTTTTTCCAACTTCACCTTTTGGGCCAAAACATGTAGTCATCACACTTGAGTTCTTCATGGAACAAAATTACTCAATATATATATACATATATACAATTATATACCTACTTCACAATATCACCTTCCAGGCCAACAATTCTCTTTATAAGGTACCTCTCTGGATGTCTTGGAGATCTGTAAAAAAGATACAGAATTTTAGTAATGTGTCTAGAAGAAAAAATTTAAGGTTTTTACAGTTATATTTATCAATAGGCATAAAATAACTACATAGAACTCATTACTGTTACTGACTTTCAGAAATATTAATTCAGGTATTTTATGTACACATTTTACTTGGATAAAGTGAATTTTAATAAATCTGTTAGGCATTAAATAAATTATTTGTAGTAATTAACAGCTCCTATTAGAATTGTACAATCAACTTTAGTCACAGATAAGACAGTTTTCTTTAAAACAACAGAAAATCAATATCATAAAAGGAACATTTACTAATTATTTTTCCTTCATAATTTTAACAAGCTGCTTGCACAGTAGGCCTCAACTCAGACATTGTGTATGTGCAACAACATGTTATAAGGCTAATAAAGCAAGTTAAACTCAGATGTTGAAGTGCCAAAAAGTAAACAAGAATTCAGTGATAAAAAAATCAATCGTTCAGCATCTTGATGCTATCTAGAATTTCTGCACTTCAGATTGAAAATGAACAGTTAGGACAAAAAAAGCATAGCACTGCTATATTGATCACAAATTCAAAAAGTCACAGATTTAAAATCTTGTACCAAGCTCTGGACCCAAGACCATAAACTGAGAATTTAGACTTAAGTCAAAATTTCATATCAATATATCTTTTGAAATAATTTTGATAACGAAACAAAATTTTTACAATATGTTTAAATTGGAATTTTATACAAACCTGCAATTTTTAAGAAGCTATGTATTATGAATCACAAGTTATTGAAAATCAAAATGTTGACTTAAGTCTGTTCTTAGTTTATGGTCTCCAGGCCTGGTTTACTGGTCGGCTGAACACATATAGACAGACAGACAGACAGAGAACTACCTGTGGACAGTCCAAGGAAATTGGTGAAATATGAATAATTCACAGTTTAGCCTTTATGTACTGGAGACAGCAATAACAATGATAAAAAAAAAACTGTTAAATTAATTAAGGCGAAAATCATCAGATAATACAAAATTACCACGACAGAGAAAAATTATAAGGACATAAGCATTGTTTCATCTGATAAAAAAAAATTGTTGCCGACTTCTGTGATAAGTAGACTATAAATATTAGATTTATTTCCCTTACAATCACAATTATGTCACGCCATCCACTGTGTGATTCATCAACACAGCAGTTAGAACAACGCAGAATCTGTAACTGCACGATTTATCTCTGGCTTTGTTGTGCTTACTTGGATGTTTTGTTTTTCAGAAAGTAGTTGCTAAAAATTAACAGCAGTGCAGCCACTGCATTCACATGACATCATTTTATGAAACCTTGAAGTCAAATGTGAATTTATGTCCTTAAAAGCTTAGCTTTTAAAAACTGTCAGTGGAAAATCATATTCTCTCGACACTACATATTCAATACACTATACTTTTTTTTCAGGTACTGTATTAATCTATAATAAAAAGTGTTCAACAAAACTTTTCAGTTGTCTAATTGGATATATATGGTATAACAGGATGTTTGCAACTATTCAATCAGTATTTCACGATTATATAGAAAGAAGCACTGATGATGAAAACGGGGACTTAGCTCATGAGTTTTATGAAGAAAATGATATTGGAGGTCACACAGTAATGGAACAGCACTGGCTGAATCTCACACCAGAGGTAGTCTCTAATGCATTGTTTTCTTAAGGAGACTGTGGGTCGACATATTAACAATAAGATATATCTTAATGAGGTATGATATCTTAAGCTGTCATCTATCATTTGACAAAGAAAAATTTCATACAGTTTAGCTTTAAAATTGGATCATTTTTGTATATCTTTATATGGAGGTATTCTTCTGAAGGAGATCCATTTAGTCTAAAAATAACCGTTATCCGCATTTAATAATAGTCTGTAATGTGATGAATGGTCTGTGATGAATGATCCCGTAGCTGCAGAAAAAAATATTATATTGACAGACAAGAGAGCTACAGTGCCACCCATTGAAAAAAGGGTTTATTTATCGCACACAAAAGAGTGTGCTGTTTCTCAATTTATTTCTCTCTGTTTTTCAAACTGCTTTCTCAAAATACTATGACCATGTCTTTTGCTTTTTCACATGAAACATTAATTATAACTGTTGTAAATAGTTCTTGAAATTGAGACCATCGAAAATTGTGCCTATTTACATTGCCTTAAATGATATGTATGTGTACCTAACTTAGTGTATATTCAAAATGTAGCACAATCTCTAATTCATGAATTAGCCTTCCACACAAATGTGCCATTCATTGCATTTATAAATTATGTATAAGCGGTATTCATAAATGTTTTTAAAGCATTTTTATTATACTGTTACAAATTTCCGTAAGAAATTTCAAATATATATGTCTATGTACATCATGTACATGATAGCGTAAATTAATTCAGTATCAAAAAGATAGGACTACAGTAATAAGTACATCAAGCAGATTTCTCCAAAAAAATTGTTTTAATTTTTGTCTTGGATTTCTTTTTTCAGGGTGAAGTAACAATTCCAAGACTTCACATGGATTTCCCTGATGTGATATGAGAGGCGCCATATTCCAATTGACTTCAATATCTATAAATGTAAATATGTGGACCTCATCCCTAAATGGAGGTGTTTATTCCATATTTTGTGAAGAATATCACCTGACATGAAAGGAAATAAAAGTAGTTCTGAACCAACATTGAAAACAAAATAGTACAAATACATACAAAGAAATATTTCTGTCAAGGAAACACTTTTGTGAAATAGTGGATACATGTATGTACATATATAACAAATGTGAATATTGTACACTTTTGTTATCTCTTGAATGTTAACATAAAGAATAACTTTGGGGTAATTCTTCTGCTTGAATGGATGTTGTGTTTTGTGAAAAAGAGCATTCCCTGTTATCCATTTACAGTACACATGCTTCAGAGTTATTGCACAAGGATAAACGTACCTCATTGATGTAGGATTAGTATATACAGTGTATTACAATCAGTATTTGACTTTCACCTTATCTGGGATGTGGAGTATGAGGTATCAAGGTTGAATAGGACTGTACTGTAACAGATCACATGCTGTTAATTTTATACAATACTGCTGTATATACTGGAAGAAATTGTGAAGTTTTTCGCATTAGGACTTCAATGTATGTAATCTGTGATTTGTGCAATAATTATTTAATTATTTTTTGTTTGAAAATTATCATAACATTTAAAAGTGTAGTGTATTGTATTACTGTCTTGTGAGTTTTATTTCTGTAGATATTGGTCATGTATAAAATGAACATTTATTTATTACAAAGGGAAATAAAGTTCAAGTATTATTAAGTATGCCCAATTTGTTCTAATCAGGGGGTATTTTATCTGAAATTTTAAACCACAGGCAGTCAAGTTAATTAAATTGTGGCTGAACATTTGTGAATAAAAAAATGTCTAGTACTTTAAAATGTTTCATTGATGTTTCAATAAAATGTGTAACTGTTGGCAAAATGAATTATAATTATTTCAAGTTTTTCATTCATCATCTTTTATCCATAATAGAAATTAGCCCAATGACAAACAAAATATTAATGTATATTAACAAAGTTCAGTTAATTTTCGCGACACCTCATTTTCGAAAGACAACCATTGCCTCTTTATAAGCAAGACAATTTTTCTTACGAATTGTGGTTATTGCTCTATATATAATCTATACGAATCTTTTCAAAAATCTGATCATTTCTGCGGAGTAAAAAAGAAAGAAAGAATATGAAAGGGAAATGTTTATAATTTCAGCTACATCTTTACTAATCGACTAGGACAATCATAATTTGATTAAAAAAGGGATAATTTAATGTTGAAACATTAATTGATGTACATATGTAGATAAAGGAGCTATGTGAGTCTGATGATCTTCAGAATTGAGCTGGGCGAATCATAGGCATTTATATAAAAAGGAAGTGAAAAAAGGGGGTGTCTCTAAATGCGCTGTAAGAGGGATAACTCTAAATTTTAGAACGCAACATACCCGGAAATGAAGACCGAAAACGGACTGTTTACAAAGTCGAGACAAAAATGAAAAGAGAACTGACGAATGAATTTTCCACCGATGTATTGAAAAGCAATGACTTTTCATCAATGTAAGTTAAGTCTCCCAGTGGCTACCTTGGTAAAAATATTTGAAAATTCTTTATAGAAACTATTTGTTGCTACTCTACTTTCATTTTCGAGTTTGTATATTTTCATGACAATTTTTCAAAGTGACGCCTCGGATTTAAATTAAAAAATTGAATTACTTTTATAAATACATGTTTATGATATGTTCAAATATGTATACAATTGTTAGACAAGGAAGTGTTATGATTATTCATTTAGCAGTCACAAAAATTACTAATTTTAATATCAAAACAATTCTTGATAATATAGGACATCTGCCGAAACTATGGATCCCCGCCTCAGTGCCCAGGATGTGATCAGATGTGACCTTTGTGAGACAGCTGTAGTACAGATGTACTGTGATTTCTGTCATGTCAACCTTTGTAAACCCTGTATTGGAGAACATATTGCTGATGACTATAACAAACATCAAATTGTCCCGTTCCAACAAAGAAAGTCAACATTGATTTATCCAAAGTGTGCAACACATCCAACCAAAACTTGCGAATTAAAATGCAAGGAATGTGGCATT